GCTGCCTGTGGGTCAGGCCCGACCTGAGCCCCGCCAGCGGCGCCAGCACCGAGGCTCACGGAGCACCGAGGCGACGCCGCTGCGCACGGCCGCCCAGGCCGCTCCTCCCGACAACGAAGGGCGCGGCGGCGCCCCCCAGAGGGCAGGCCCGCCTAGGGTCCCGGTGGCGCAGCGCACAGAGACGTCATGTGACGACCTCGCGGGTGCAGTCGCGTCTGCAAACAGTGCGGGGGCAGGGTCGCGCCGCGCGTTCTGAGTGACGTCACGTGACACGCACGTTCGCCTCGCCTCTTGATGCCAAAATGGGACCTGAAATTTTTAGCGTTGAAGTAGGAACACTTTAAATGACAAGGATAAACAATTATTGTTTTAGAATAAACACTTTAAAAGGAAGTAGAATCTTAAGGATACGACTTATTCTCTGTTATTCCAAAGGTAGGATTTGGCCCGAATATTGAAAATTACAAGAAACCGGTCCCAGCTCAAAGTGAGGAGCACTGTAGCTAGAGCTGTTTGCAAGGAACGGGCTGCCTGTGGCTGCTGCCACCCGAGCAGAGGCAGGCTACTCGCCGACAGTCGCGCATGGACTCCGTGTGGCGGTCGCCGTTTCCGCCCCCTGCGCGCACTGGCTCGGTCCCCGCAGCCGCAGGTGAGCGCCGGGGGAGTGCGCGGCCCGCACGGTCCCCCGACTGGGGGTCCGCACGCTCTGGGCATCCGCCCCTTCCGCCCCCAGTTCAATCTCTGCTTATTCCTGTACGGACCCCGCGTGTCGACAGCGATTAAAAATACCGCCTTTGGGACTTCGGCTTAGACATGGTGAATGTAACACACACATTTCTTTCTGCTACCTCCACAACCCCACTTGAAAGGCTAGAAAGGATTAAAAAAAAAAAAGGAACAAACAAAAAACAAAAGGAACAAGCCCACGAGAACAAAAAGAACAAGAGCAAATGCTCTCAGGAAAATTTTGGAGGCCGAAGTGTGCGAACAAACGACATGACGTTGGTTCCTGCCTTTCCACTCTCGCAGCGGCCTGCGAGGTGGGAGGCGGGGTGTGCACGGTGACAGCAACAAGCCACTCGGCACTGCGGAAGGCCTCGGCTCCCCACATCCCGGGACCTGGAAGCAGTGGGCTTCCTGGAGGTGGCCGCGCTGAAACAGCTCGAGCTCTGCAGCAGGAGGTGGGAGCTCCGTCCCGCCCGCCCCGTAGCCACTGCTGGTGCAAGTCTGCTCTCCGGCTGCTCATTTGCTAGGTGTACCCTCTCTTCCGTGTTCTTCTCCTGCACTCTTCCGGGTTAATCAAGTATTTTCCCGTATTCCATTTTAGCTCCACCAACGGCTCTTTAGCTAGGCCTCGCAACTTCAGTTTGTTTATCATTTTGGTGGTTGTTCTAGGGAATTAAATATGCGTTCTTAACTCGTCACAGTCTACATTACACCACTTCGAATCTCACGTCAGAAGCTGACAAGAGCACAAGTCCATTTCCTCCCCGTGCAAACTTTGTGCTATTGCTTCAAATATTAAAATACCTTATTTCTACATGTTACAAACATTGTTATTTGGTGTTCTTTAATCTGTAGATCGATTCTTTTATCCAAGTTCCCTGATATTTTCTTTCTTCCTTTGAGAAGGGAAAAAAGACAAAGGCATAGACAGTCACTGGACGGCAAAGCATCTCAGACCAGGATTCCTTTATCATAGAAGTGTTTCTTCTACTTCTACCCTATTTTTAGAAGAGTAATCAAGGCTCTTTCTCTTTTAAGAATTAAAGAGAATGTGAACTCGATGTCGGATCTGCATACAATGTTGAGTCTAAAATTATTCATAGCTCATTCTTCTTCCCAACTAACTTTCTCATTGGAAACTTTCTCGGAAAGTTAAAGAAGCTACATCTCTTAACCAGAACAGCGCATTCTGTACAGTAAAACAGAGAGAAATTTCGAACTAAAAAGAGATTTCATTACAAGGTTCATATTTGGGAAGTAACTTTGCCACCTACCAACTTCGAGTGGCTTTGCAATTTAGTCTAAAATATTCTCTATTTTCAAAGGGAAAAAATGAGAACAGAGAACTTTTTAAGTAATTTTCAGACAAATCGAAAGTATCCCAACTTGCCTCTGTGCTTTCCAAGACTTGACAGCTAGAGTTTATCAAGTTATTTAAATTTTAATTATATGAAAAGTAACCCCATTTACTCTGATGTGCCTAAACAGAAGAAGATATTTTTAACTGGAAACATTCTGTAAATCTGGCATTAGTGGCTAGCCAGGTACAATGTGTGGGAACAAGCTTCATAAGCCAACGGAAGGCCATTTGCATGCACCTTGTAAAATATTAGACTCAGCAAGACCCAAAGAAAGATTTCCAAGAAAGCAAGATAGATTTCATTCTCTCTTTAATGTGAAAGTTTATGTGCCCCTCGAAATCTGAAAATTGGAAGTTTTCTTTCCGTAAAATTACAGTCTACTTGCTCAGGTTGGATGATATTTTACAAACTTGTTTATATAGTTGAGTTTTCTGTTAAACTTTGTAGAAACTATTATGCCCTCAACAAAAAGCCATTAAAACAATACCTCAACTCAACACTAAGTTTTTTTCCAATATGTTTCCACTTTTAGTGAAATTATTTCTGCCAAATCGAGAACAGACTGATGGTCAATGAGACACAAAAGGATTTTAGGGAGAAAGAGGAGAAATCTTCTCCTAGTGGAGGAGGCAGACAACTCAGGGGTGTGCGTATCACGGAGACGAGTGGCAGCCAAGGACTGGGGGAGCCCCTCAGACGCTGGGCTGGCAAAAAGAGAAACTAGGGAATAGATTAGACCCGCGTTGAAGAGCATGTATTTTAAAAACTCCACTGACAAAAAAAAAGGGGAAGTGTGACCACAGAAACAGATGTACCCCATCAGCAGCTGAATTGTCACACCCAGGGGCTGAGACTCCCAGTTTCAAGTCTTGTGGTTTAGCCCACGTGGCAGCCTCACACATTCAACCACAAAGTGTCACCCACCTTTCTCTGAAAGACAGCGGGTTTTAGCCTATCAGTCTCGGCTGGCCTGAAATGTTAGGTGCCGGGCCTCTCGGTGAGGTGAATACTTACGAAAACCAAGGAAGATGTAAAAATAAGTACAGAGAAAATGAAATTAGTCACCCCTATAATACTGATGAAAATGTGTGACAACACATTTTATAACGATTGGACTCTTTGTTTAGGCTGTTTTTGAAGATGCTTAAAAATGCTTAACAGATTTGTTCTACTACCTATATGCCTGATTTGATTTGTGAGCATTTTCCAAGATTTGGTCTGTCAGATTGATAAGTCTACTCAGGTGTTCGAAATTTAACTGTAGGTGGTATTACAGTTTGAGGAGGATTTAATCATTGAACATTAATAGCAAACATTAAGCAAAGAAAAAATAAAAGTGATTGTTTTCATAATTGTTTTAAGTTCTGTAGGTGAGTGTAAAGGTTAGGGGGAAGAGGTGCCTAGAGACAGTGAACTTTAACACATGGGGTAACAATCACAGCACGATGACATGGAGCGTCGCTTCCCGTGCACAAGGCACTTCTTGGGAGTCACAGCACTAATAATTTCCATCAGAATGACTGTCACTGGTTTCTCCTTTAGAACTACCAGAGCTGTGGAAAATGAAACTAAAACGAGAACCTACAACATCAAATGATCAATGTGCTCTTAGGAAACTCAGAAGATTGCCGTGTCTCTGGTTACCAGAACTTCTGGAAATTGAGTGTCTTAAAAACCTAGTAACTTTACAGGCCATTACTACATTAACATGAAAACTGATCTTTTGCTAATGGAGAATATTCTAATTACCATGAGAAAAGCTCTGTCCAGTGATTTTCCATGTTTCTGGAAAGTAAATTATATATGTCTAAGCAATTTAAAAAATTTTAAACTTTTAGTCAAAAAAATATTGGTTTGATCAGACTACCTATATGCTGGCAAATATGAAACCCTTTAAGGAAAATCACTGCATTACATGAACCCACTAACAAAAACATCAATCATTTTAATTAACTTTTCCCACAGGATTTTTATGTTAAAAATGAAACAGTCTTTGATTCTTAAACAGGAGATGAATCCTGAGTGTCTTTCTACAGGAGAAAAAAACCTACCAGAATAAATTGTTTATTAGCCTTAGCACAGTGGTCCCCAACCTTTTTGGCACCAGGGACCAGTTTCATGAAGACAATCTTTCCACCAATGGGTGGGGGGGGGGTGGGGGGAGGGGCAGCGGAGCTCAGGCGATGATGTGAGCACCGGGGAAGGGGCAGCTGTAAACACAGATGAGGCTCCCTCCCGAGTTTCCCAAGTTTCATGGAAGGCAATTTCCCCACAGATGGGGGAAAAGGGGGCCTCTGCAGCCCAGTCCGCAGCCTGGGGGCTGGGGACCACGGCCTTAGCACATTTACTCAGCATTCATAGAACTGCTAGGAATTACAAATGAAAACGAATGAAAAATGAGATTCAGAGAGATCAGGTGATGAGGTTAACAAAAGGCTCAGATCTGGGGTGGTGGCCTGCATGCCATGTGTGCCCAGCCAGAGGGCCGTTGTTCTAGCAATAAAGGGGAGGGGGGAAAATAAAAATCTATTGGCAATATTTAAACCAAAAAATATTAGAACAAAACAAACTGGATGTACTGAAAACCAAAGATAAAAGTACTGAAAATAAACGAACCTAATGCTAAAACTTTCCACTGGACTCTGGAAGCAACTCTTTTGAACCATAGCATCATACTAAAAATTAATTTAAGATTTTAGAGTTCTCTAAATATTGCTAACTCTAAGTGATAGCTGCAGCGTGTGTGCAGACAGATGACGGAGACATACAGACAGATGAATAAATGGGATGACAGATAACTTCAAAACGTTTATTTGCTATTCCCTACTTTGCAACAACAATCTCCCAATCTGGTTGGAAAAGGGACAACAGGTGACTTGTACACGGTCCAAGTAAAGAGACAGAACACATTTGGAGAATCCTTTAATAACTATATTCATTTCCAGAGAACAATAAATACAGAAATTGCAAGCAGTATACGTAACAGTAATATTTTCCTTGGATACACCTTTTTTACACAACTTAACTGGCAAACATTGTTTTCAGAAATTAACATCGGGAAAAGCTACATAACAGGAGGAAATTGTAAGTAAAATCAGAGAGTATTTCATCTTGGCCCTAGACACGGGCTGCCACCCCCGGTCCCTCGGCGGCAGGAGGGGAGGCTGGAGGGCCGCTCAGCTGCGGGCGGCTGCAGTCTGGGGCTGCTCGGACTGGAGCTGCTTGCCCAGGTATTCCCTGAAACACAGGAATGAAGTGCAGGATTTAAATACAAAGAACTGCTTGCACAGTCCAGACACGATACACACTGTCATATATACTTAAACATCTCAAAATTACTAATAAAATAGCCCTAGAGAACTAAGCCTTTCCGCATTTCAAACGTACCTGTACTGTATGAATTCTTCCCCATGTGCCACACAAAACAAGTCATCACACACACAAACTAGTAATTCTTGCACTAGCACTTGTACTAATAACCCGCGGTTACCAGTGATTACAAGGAAATGTAATTCCTTCTTGGAGAAAGTCTACTTTCCTGTTCAGATAAAGGTCTTGTGTATTCCTGCTGCCACCCCTGCAATCTAAGTTCAAAAATCAACTTAATTATGATTCCAAGTGGCCTCACACATGAAAAATAAATTTCCTGCTGTTAGAGAGCACCCACACCCACACCCTGCGGTGAACACAGGCGCACGTGGAAACACGTCACCGGAAGGGACACCGCGGCCCACACCCACAGGAGCTGCTTCCCCCGGAGCACCGCCCGCGTGGCACAGCCCGACGCCCTCCCGAGACGGTCGTGCCGACCCGCAGAGCGACCCCACTGGCGGCAGCGCTCGCGCCACGGCGGGGCCGCTGTGCGTCAGAGCGGCTGTCCGTGACCTTCCAGACCACGCTCCCCTTCAGAAAACCACTGAGCGCCCCGCAACACGCTTCCGCCTAGCTCTCAATTGCGCACAGGCACCACCGCGATTCCAGGACAGAAAACAGTCTTCCCCTTATTTTCCTGTGAAGGAGTTGCCCAGACTTGTATTTTAGAACCAACTAACAAGGACACACAAAAAAGATTTTTTAAAACGAATTATTTAAAAGATCGCCTCCTCTAAAAAGAAACAAGCATGAATTTTGGAATAGAGACACGGGTTTACATTCCAGCTCCATCACGCCACGGCTGTGCCGGCCGGTGGTTCGCAGTGTCCCGCGAAGGCTCGAGAGGTGCCGAGTGTGAAAGCGCCTGGCCAGGCGCACGGGCGGTGCCACGTCACCCTCCCAGCCCAACCCCCAGGAACGAACCCACAGGGGCTCCCAGCAGCCACTGGTAGATGCGCTTCTGCCTCTCTCTAGAGAGGTCCAGAAGAAGGGGAGAGAAGTCCCATGTATTCCACCCGCCCTGCTCTCCCCTCTGCTGTCGCAGCCTGGACCGCAGCAGCAAAGACTGAGAAGAGCAAGCAGCCCTGGGTGTCGGCGAGGAGGAGGAGTGTGTGAAGGAGCCGTGCGGCAGGGGGCAGGGACCCCTCCCGAGGCTGAAGAAAGTGAACCACGCCTTCAAGCACAGTGAGGCCCACCGAAACTTCCCGTGACATGAAAACGGTTTATGGTCTTTTTCACCCTCACAGCAAAGTTCTTACGACTGACTCACTAATTCTGGGCGTCACATTAAAGCGCGTAATATTCTTGTGTTATTAGGAACTACCCTGACATACTTTAGACAATGGGGATCTTAAGTCCAACCAGGAGTAAGTAAATAGTCATGTCCATTTTGTACAAAGGCCAAAAGGGAAGCCATCCTATGCATTCCATCCTATGCATTTCATCAGACAGAGAAACACAGTTTATGGTCACTATTAATGCTGCCGCTCTGGGACGGCCTGCAACCTGGGAGTATTTGTCGCTGCACAGGTTTGTTTTGTTTTGTTTTCTTGGCAGGGGGAAGGAGGATTATAATATTCATTGCAAAATTTCCAGGTCTTATTTCCAGATCTTATATTTTTCCTACACATACTTAACAAATTAAACCTGAAATTAGATATGTTTCATTTCAAGGGGTGTTCAAATCTTCTAATTTTCAATATTAGATTGTTTAGTGTGGTTCCTTAGAAAACACTTTAAAGTATACTCAAAGATGCTGTGGCGCCTTTGATTACAATAAGCCACGGTTCTTTCAATAAAGGAAGGACCAACGTCAAAGACCATGTTCTAAATATAAGTTTCCAAAGACAGCTAGCGAGCGCGCAAGGCAAAGCCTCCAGGACGGGTTATGGGCACCATCCTCTTCTACACTCTCGGTTTTTCACACCGACAAGGTGGCCCAGAGGCACCCACTTCTTCCTGACGTGAGTGCCTGAGTGTGGGAAACCCAGCACCTCTTTTCCTCTGTCTGCTAATGGGCGTTTATGTGATTTAGGATTTGGGGGAAGGACATGGACTCATATAGATGTAAAGGTTCCAACTAAAACCTGCACGTCAAGGGCCCTGGATGAATCTCTGAGCCTAACTTGAGGTATCTGTCATAAAAAGCCAAAAGCCAAAAGCCAAAAGCCCACCAAGAGAAGAGCTAGACTGGACCCACTGGAAGAAGAATCACATCTCCTCCTCAGGCTTTCTTGAAATTGCTGTGTTTGTTATGGCACGTGGGTCATTAAAATATCAGAGGAAACCAAACTGCGGCTCAACGAGAACCACACTGTGCTATAGAAAAAGACCCCACCTTCGCAAGCTTTGGGGGAAATCTCCTTCTTTGAACTGGGCTTGTAAAATACTGTAGTCTACTCCCCTGATGCCAAATGGCACTGTGCTGTCAGATGAAAACTCTCCCGAGACTGGGGACCCCCGGCTGGCTCTGACCCCCCTGCGATTCCAGGCCTGGGGGTCCTGGCACCAAGTGCCGGGGCTGGGAACACAAGACGGCTGCCCGTGCCGCCCTTGAGCACAGGCGCACCCACACACGACCCTCTTTCATCTCGGAGCACCCCATGGGGTGGGCGCTACCTTCTCCATGTTACAGGAGAGGGAGCAGGGTGCCGAAAACTTCAATAACCTGCCCGAGGGCCTGGCCGGGCTCTGATCCTATTCTCCTTCTCCTGTGGGGAGAAGGGCCTGGGAAGGTGCAGAAAGCAGACACTTCAGACACTTCCTATTTTCACAGATTAGAAAACAATGAGAAGGTGTGAGTCATTTCTTCAGGTTAAAGTTATATTTCTATCACGCAAAAGAAAAAACTAGTACGGATTTTATCTCGGGGGATTACAATGTATCTAGAACAAAGGATGCAAGAAGAGATCTTTTAAATGAATTAATCCAAGTATTGAGTCAATTAATCTTTCTCTCTATACATGAAGATCAATACAACAATAAAAATTCAACTTGAAGTGTAGTATTTTTCTTCTTTTTTACTTCACCCATAACGGAAACTCCTGGGGTCTCGGGATCCCAACATCTTTGAAACTGAAAACAGGAGCAGTCTGAAAACCTACTCCCCTTTTAAAAAAAATCCAAGTACAAAACAGCTCACAAAAGAGATCACACTGTATATACTACAAAAGTGTACACCTCTTGACTAAGAAATACTGAAAAACTGCTTTCCAGTTCCTACGTCGCACCACTGAAATGGCCAAGATTTGACAGGCAGTGGTCTGAAGGTGACTTAAGGATCAAGGCTCGACGCTGTTAGAAGCGAGGGCACCAAGAAGCATCTACTTGCTACGTTTACTCTTAAAACAACAGAAAGTCCCTCACAGAATTACAATTAAGTGCCAAACACTTCAGAGTATATTTAGTTGTTTAAAGAGTTAACATTTTTATTCTTTCTTTAAAACTGTAATTGAAGACACTATGATAGTATTCAACAACATGCTAACTTCAGCTATGTAACCTGAAACACATGGTAACTTCACCTAAATAATTTAGTGCCAGAAATTACATGGTAACGTCACTGATACAATTTAGTACCAGGAAAAAAGTTAATTCTCTACTGACAAACATGTTAATCGATGAAAACTACAAAGTCTCTCTTATTTTCCTTTTTTGCCTTGCTTACCACAAAGCTGAGTAGAAAACTCATTGTCACTAACATTTTTGTATTATTTTCTCTAGTCTTCTTTCAGTGTGTAAATTTTCCAAAACTAAAATCATAATGTTCCTGGAATTCTATATCCTACTTCTTTCCATGAGTTTATCATAATTATTATTAAAACTAAAACTGAGCCATAATTATGATATGTTTCTCTTTTTCATTTTTTTTTAAAGTTTATTTTTATAGATTTAAGGAGTACAAGTGCAGTTTTGTTACCTGGATATATTGCACAGTGGTGAAATCTGGGCTTTTACTGTACATGTCACCCAAACGATGTACACTGAATCCAACAGGTTATTTTTCATCCTTACACCCCTCCCACATTCTGGATTCTGCAGTGTCTATTATTCTACTCTGTATGTCCACACATACCCATTTTTTTTTTTTTTTTAGAGGTGGGGTCTCACTCTTACTCAGGCTGGTCTTGAACTCCTGACCTCAATTGATCCTCCCGCCTCGGCCTCCCAGAGTGCTAGGATTATAGGCGTGAGCCACTGTGCCCGGTGGTTGGCATACCCATTGTTTGGCTCCCATGTAAAAGTGAGAATGTATCGTGTTTGACTTTCCGTTCCTGAGTTATTTCACTTAGGATAATGGCCTCCAGTTTCATCCATGTTGCTGCAAAAGACACGATTTCATTCTTTTTTATAGCTCGGTAGTATTTCATGGCTTGTTTGTTTGTTTGTTTTCACACACACACCCATTTGCTTTCTCCAATCATCTGCTGATGGGCACTTAGGTTGATTCCATATCTTGGCTATTCTGAGTAGTGCTGCCATAAACATATTAGTACAGGTGTCTTTTTTATATAATGATATAATATGTTTCTTAACCTTTACCTGTCCTGTTTTTGGAAAACAAGTTGGTATAATACAAATCATTTACAAACTATTCTTTTCTGAATATATAAAAATAATTTATCTTAGAAAAGATGAACTTTATAAGCTGTTTATAATACAGATTTGTATTTGGTAAAGAAGAAAAATAAATTTAAAATAATTTTATTATTTAATATATGGTCCTATTTTCTTTATTGCTAACTCACTATAGTTTAGTTATAAATTCAGTGATTCCTCCAGCTTTTATCGTGATTTTGAATATGAAACAAAGCAAATGTAATACCTGAACCGTGTAAAAATCACAGCGTTCTCTCTCATCTGCA